CTTAGCTGAACAGAGCTTTTGGCAGTGAATAATCCCATGCATAGAAATATTTTTATATTTGCTTGCTGTCGCCCACGATTGATAACACTGAACTTTTAGCTGAAGGACACAAAACTTACGTCTTGTTTACGAAGGAACCTAAGGACAGAAACTACAGCAAACTACAGACAGATAATACCTGAATTCAACTACTTCCACAACCTTAAAAAAAAAAACAACAGAGAAAGACAAAAATATGATCTTACTGTTGCCGATGGGTTAGTCTTCAATATTTGATTTGCCAAAGGAAGGAGAGGTTAGGATGACAGCTGTTCATTACAATTCCTTCTTTATTACAAGAGCTTAACTCTGCCACTGGCTGGCTGGCCCATTTCTGCTAGCTTTAGCACAGAACAGTGCTCCTAAAAGCTCCTCCTCTTGACAGCATCTGTCTGGATACTTCCCTCAACAAGCAGAAACAAGGCTTTCCACAGAGCCATTTAGGTGCTGGGAATGAGCTACAAGTAAGGGAAACCATTAGAAGTAGAAGTAAATATTTTGATGGCTAAGTCCAGGATTTGGCAGGTAGAAATTCATGCCCACTGACACCATCAGCTTTACACCAGAGCAGTCACATCTTCATAGTGTTACAAATCAAAAAGACGACATCCCCGACAGAAGCAGTAGCTTAAACAACGCCTAAAAACTTGCCAAAGCCTAAAGAAGCCAAAACTTTGAAAGCATACATCTCCCATGAAAGCGTACAACCCCAGCCACTCCCTATGATTAATGCAACATGCCTCAGCCTTCAGAGGAGGAGGAGGAAGGTTCATCATTTGTTTCTTACCAAGATTTTGTATTTATACAATCAAAAAAAAAAACCACTGGTGAAGTATCCACACAAGACTATGTATAATAAAGTATCTAAATATATGTATTTCAGTTATGGATGAGTCAGAAAGCAACTGCTCATTCTAACAGATGCCCTATGTAAACTCAAAATACTCACCTTTTCCCTGGCACCAACAGCAGCTGAGGCAAATCTACCTTCTGTTCCCAGAAACGCTGCCTACGGCAGATATTGTATCATGGCAAATGTACATCTCGCAGTACTGCAACTTTATTGCCAGTCAAAATGATACTGCTTCATAACTTTATTTGCAATTTATAAGCTCTGTGGGCAATACGCCAGTATGTTCTCTCGGTCTGGACGTGGCCGCCTGAACGGACAAGTAGTGAATGATCAAGTAGTGAGACCAGACGAATAAAAGATGGAAGAAAAAAAGGTCTAAAAATTAGGCCCAAAATATATATGCTAACATATTTATTGTGGCTCACTCTCAGCTACTGATCAGCACATTAACCTTATTTTCTCTGCATGATTGCTAAGTACGATACTAAAATTAGGTCAGAAATTCAGATCAGATCAGCTGACTCAGCCCAGCAAGATCAGACAAAGACTGGTTGCCTTTTTTTTTTCCCCCAATCGAATACGATGTGTTTTATCCCCTGCAATATACAATAGATCTATACATTTTTCCCCATGATTAACGTATCAGGACCACACACGATGAGATAGCAATCACACTGAAGGTACATCAGTGCTACTGAAGAAACACAACACAATGTAGCCTTAGGAAGGCAAAACGTACAATCAAACGGCTTTTTTTTTTTTCTTTTTTTTAGGTCATTTTTCAGATCTTGTTTCCAAACTGCTCAGACTAATGCATTTCAATGAACTTTTAAGTCATTCAGCATGGTTATGAGATGATTTAGGTAAATAACAGCTGCTTCCAAATAGCGTTTTGTGTGAATACCACCACTTTATTAAATAATAAATTACTTATTACTATGTTGTTAATATACATGATCAGCCTTTCTTCTAAAAGAGACCATCCGAGCACTAAAATCAAATAGCTTCTCAGAAATTCAATAATCAGACTATTAGGTAATTTTCAGTAGGTGCCAAAGACTTAGAGCTGCTTTATTTTGACTCCCACAAGCAAAAGGAGAGTGTTTGCTGGAACCCTCTCTCCTGCTCAGAATCTACCTGCGGTGAATCACCGGGGACAACTCCCTTGTTGCTAAGGAGATTGTTTTCAGCTGTTGGTAGTCTCCAGCCTGGTAGCACTGTTATCACCACACATGTGCGCCACTTGCTATCTAGGCCACACTATCAGGAATTAGGGATAATATAAATACCCACCAAGGGAAGGTAAAGACATAAGGAAAATAGTACAGAACAAAGAAGAAATCAATAATCCTTCTTTACCTTTCTTGACTGCTGTGTTTCAATAGACAACTTGGTCTTGGATGAATGGAGGTTACTACAGGGAGCAGACTCAATTGCACTCAGCCTAAGTGACTTCAGATATCATGGTTCCTTTAGTCAAAATCAGATGTTCTCCCTTAGTCTGCCATTGCTTTTAGTTTTCCTAATCAAGGGTTGATCACAAATATCTTGTTTTCCCTCTCCAAGTTTACACAGGAAAAAGACAGAGAAAAAGGCTCAAGGACAGCGTTTCCTAAGGCGTTTTTCCCACTTTGTTTCCTCAGACGGATATCATTGACCCCCTCAATGTTACTGAGATAAGCCAAGTGGGGAGGGACTAGAGGGGACCACCACAAACATGGTTTCCCACAGAAGAGCACTATATCCAAGAAATGTTGATGCCTCCAATCCACATACATATACATGCTGTTCCTCTGATAAGCCCAACTATGTTGCTGGTAATCTTCTTTTTGTCTTCTGACTATGTATCTGGGGAGCACAGCACTGTTCTCAATGATCTCAGTTTCGCATGAGCAAGAATTTCATGGTTTGGCTCAGCCTTAAATCATCCGCACTTATCCAGAGCTCTTCATCAAGTCACTTTGCCAAGATCAATAAATAAAACCACACCAACCAACCACAAGGTAGGAAATACTGTTACCGCCATTCAAATTCGGTAGAGAAGCTTGGCTAGAGGACTATAAAGAACCAGGTAGGTCCACAACTTACTTTCTCATGCCCCGAGAAACTTATTCATAACAAAACCTGTTCTGGCACTTACTGACCTTTATGGTCACACATACTAAAGTGCATGTAAACAGGTTAGCCAGAGCACAGCCTAATTAGCTGTCAACTCTGAAGACTATATTCTAAATACATCTGTATACATTGACGGTTTAACATAGCTTATCATCAAATGAAGAAGTTGCCACAAGGACTGGGGAAGTTATTTTTCCAGCCAATTCTAAATTAATCAGATAGTGACGTTTCAATAAATTAAAAATATTTACAATTTTTTTTTTTTAATTATTTTCCTCAATGGGGAAGAGCCAGCAACGTAAGATGAGAAAGTACTCTTCATCTCGCTACTTTAAAACAGCAATTTATTGACTAGCACTTTTGTACGTGCTAACATAGCGGGTGAGACAGATTCAAATTCTTCCTCTGCTTCATGTAACTAGAACTTAACTTCTCTGTCCATCATACTAAGAAATATTTTGAGGTGGGTCTCCCTACTCTTTCCTCTTGCAAATTTTGCAGTTTATGTAGCTATTCAGTAATCAAGAGAGAGACATGAACACTAAACAAAGATGGCAAGAATGAAACAAAAAGCGTATCCAGCATAAATCAAAACAAACAAAAAAAAACCTTCCTACATTAATCTGCTGCAAGAAAAAACATTTTCTCTCATGAAGTTGTGCATAGTACAGCTCCTGCTACAAGTAGCCTATGCCTTTGACTCCCCAATAGTTTGAATCCCCCTAAACATCACCCAAAAGTTGAGCTGACAAGATAATAGTCCAGAAGGTACCAAAATACACATTGCACGGGCTCTCATTATTCACCTTAACTTCACATTAGTCTTATCCCCCCAACCAAATTAGTGACAATCCAAAAAATTCTCCTTCCTGGAACGTAAAGCAGCCATAATTTTGCTTTACATTGCTTTTTCTCCCTCCTCTGTCAAACTACGCGCTGTTCTTTTGCTTTAAATATCCCATCAAAATTACCAGACTACCGAGGTGTTCCTGGAACATTCACAGCACAGCATGGCTGTTATACCTGGATGTACAGTATCCAAGACACAGCATAAAATGCAATCACTTAAACTGAAATACAGAAGATTCACACTGGGGGAAAAAAATTTCAAAGGACCTATCAGTTTGTGCTCAAGCCATCCATTTGCATGCAAGAGTTTAGCATTTGGATAGATGATTTACCTGTATTACACAATTTGACCCTCTCCTCAAGAAAATGCAATTTTTTTTATACGCAAATGTGTATATAATAAATATTTACATCTATCCCATCCAACCTTCTTTTCCTCTCCAAGAGGCTGCAGAGATTTCACTGCTATCCATTGGCACGAGAGGCCAGGTCACGTGAGTGCTCCTCTCATTAACTGTCAACTACAATCGACGGCATTGTTCAAGAAGAGCCATTACAGGGTTCTTGCCCATCAGGGGCTTGATCCATTTTCCTTTAAATGATTGCAATATTTTTACCGACTTCAGAGCATGCAGAATGGTGAGGAAATCATACATAACAGACATTTTTTTGTAGAACTTCAGACAGCAATTAGAGAGCTTTGAAAATTTACCAGATTTAAAACATCAACTCCAGGAGAGTCCATTTGATCTGCACACCAATGCATCTTTGCACAAAGTACACACTGTCCATCTAAAAGCGCTGAGTGGATGAGGACCTATTTTCCACTAGATCTACATCTCCTATTCCAAACACCTAAACTTTTTGTTACAGATCACACCTTCTGGAGATGTCACACGTGCTCAAACTGAATACATTTGGATGGGAATACTCTCTTCCATTGAGGGCGGTAGAACCATTCAGCATCAATGTAAACCACGTGCAGATAGCAGCCTGACATGGGCCAATGGTCTGTACTGCTTTTACCAGCAAGCTGCTTAGAAGTCAACTGGTCTACACATGTTTACCATATATCTGAGACCGAGCCCCTTACTGTTCATTCACTCTGCCAGACCACTCATCTTTTTATCAAAATATTTACCGTTTTATTGCTTCTTCTTGTTTTCGGCGTTTTTCACTCTTTTCTTTCAAGTAAGCCAGGTTTGTTTCATTCCTCATGCGATCATTCTCTCGAGCAATGTCTGATGCATTCTGTATAACCAAGCCATCATAGGCCTTCATCCCCATATCTTCAATATACTGGAGAAAAGCGCCCAAAGTGACCTCCTCCTGATTAGAACTCATCATCTTGCAGGAGATAATGAACAAAGGAAAGCAACGTTTCCTGCAGGTTGAAAAACACATAATACCTTAATCAGTGGGAAAACAGCTTATGGTTTATGACAGCGAGATTGTGTCAATTGTAATTAACATCTCTGTAAGAGACAATTTTTTAGACTTTCCCCTGTCTAAAGGATAATAAAGCAATTCAGTACACAGAACAACATTACTCGAGACAAGAGGAGATAAAACCCAAGAGTCTCTTCTTTCAAGCGATGCAGATCCACCCAGTTATACGTTGTTCAAATCCCAAAAAGGTTTTCTCCCACCCCTTCCCTTTTCCTAATACCCTGCAGTTGCAACAACACTGACCTCCCTGAGTCTCAGTTTGAATTGGACTGAAAAAGCTTCCATCCCAGGACAACAGGTCCTTTTTGCAGTTTAGATAAAGCTGCACCAGAGCAGATCACCAGACAAAATTCCTATTCTGCAGGATATTCCAAAGTTCAGGTGGAAAACACTGTTCCATTTTTTGGAACAAAAAAAGTTCAAAGTTTTCTTCACGTTCAAAATCTGGAAAGAAATATTGTGAGATAGTTTCCTATATTTTTTACTAACATAGATATGAGCCCATAAGCCCTGGTCATCTGTTGCCCAACAGCTTGTTAGCTTGAAGCTCCAAGAACGGACAAGAAATCCCAGCTAAGCTGGGACCTTCAGAACGCTAAAGCCCTTGAATTCTCCAAGCTTCTGTATTTCTTCCACAGGTATGACAGACGCTTGGGTTTACAGCACCTCCAGCTAAGCAGCATGGAGCACAGACACGCTTAGATCCCTAGGTCACTCCTGGCTCCGTGGCAGGCAGCCTAAAAGCTCTCAGAAAGGCCCCAAAGGTTTTCCACTCAGCAGCAGACACCCTGGGAGTCGTGAGAACTCTGGTGTATGGACACATCAGTAAACACTACAGGTGACTAAAGGCAAGGTATAATTTCAAGAAATATACTGGCCATCTAAATTCTATACAACTGGATTAACTACTTATTAAACAAGTAAAATAGGACTTTAATAAAACAGAATTGTGCCATCTTCTTATTTTAAATACTGATTACTGTAAGGTTTTGAGACATTACGATCTCGAGTGGCATTATCCTCACACAGCCCCGTGAGGGGGGTCCTCATCTTACAAACGAGGAGTCGATGCAGAGAGTGACTGAGTGACACACTGGCAGACCTGGCAGCTGAACTCAGCTCTCTAAGGCATGTTTGCTTCTTCACTACTAGAAGATCCTCCCTTCCCTGAAGAAAGATGGTGTGACTTCTCAGAATCAGCCTGAGAACCATGCCAGCGCTGCAGCTAGAAGTGATCTTATTGAAGAGGCAACGAGCATCCCACCTGCACACAGATTTTAGGGGCAGAGTCCCCGTGTAATCAGCAACAAAAATCTTTCCTCCATTTCCTAAATACTGCCATATTTCTCATCTTTATTACACTGCTGGACAAGCAAAATTCTGATCAGAGTAGGCACTGATTCTAATAAATAAATAAATAAATTAAAAGTTCTTATAGATTCTAGCAATCCACTCTGGGCCTTCAGGCACAGCCCTGAACATGAGAACAAAATGCTTTTACATCCATGGAGTAAGCAATCTGCGAGGGATGAAAAGAAGAGAGAGAAATATTTTTCCACCCTTTATTTTTTTTTTTTCCCCATTTTAGACCACTTGCAGTGGCAATGGCAACAAGCAGCTGGTTTCAGGCAGTTAATACTTAAAAAGCACACCAGTAATTTTTTTCCCCTTGTTCTCTGTGTCTCTATATCAAAATTATTTCTGTACAATGGTAGCCTGACTTAAAATCATGAATATTCAGGGGATGCAAAGGGTCTGCACCTATCACCTCTTCCACCTCCCAAGACAACCTTTTCTATCAACTAAGCCTGAGTGTGAGTGTAAGGCTGATGTTCAGGGTCACTAAATTGATCTTAAAGTATTTTCAGGCGTGGGTACAGGTATCTCCTACTAAGCCCTGCAGGGTAAAACCAGTGGAGGAGGCCTTAGTGCAAGCCCAGCGTGCATGCACGCACTTCCACACTAGAAGCAGCTAGAACTCCACCGCACTGGCATATGCATTGAGCCATTCTATATAATTAAGTGGCACAGTATCTGCAAAGGAGTGAATTGGGAAGCTGACAATGAGCTAAACAGACTCTACCAATGTTACTGGTGCTTCAGTAGACATCGTTTTAGACCAATTCCTAACCTTTCTGATTAAGAAAAGTAAGTCCAGATACCATAGCCCCTTCCTGGGAGTCTCTCTACAGCATGAAGCCTACCTGATTAAAAACAATGCAAACAGCATAGACGGCTCGAACTCCACTGTCTCCAAACTTCTCAAATGGTATCTGCTTTTTGATGGTTAAAGTCCGGGCCATTTCCCCAGTAGATGGCTGTTTCACTGTTTTCCTTTTTGGACTTCTAGTAAAGCCTAGTTTCTGCATATGTTGCATTAAATTCAGATAAACCTGTACAACAGAGAAACCCCACCCTAGCTATCTTAATGGCAAGTTTTGCCATTGAGTTCTCCAGTATAAAATTTCATATTTCAGGAGTAAAATCTCTTCACTGAAGATAACTTCAGCAGGCTTTCAATAACTGCAGTTCTGATCCATTTTTCCCCCAAGACATATAGAACTTGAGCTGCTTCACACTCTCTTTTATGACAACAATACTGCATTATTTTTCCTCATTGTTTCCCTTTCTTTTTGGAGGTCAAAAATGAGCTGACACCTAAGGATATGCTGAATCTCCTTTTATTATGATATTTATTTTTCATATGAGAGAATAAAGTCATTCCAATTGCAAAAAGACTGAAATAAGAAGCCTTTATTCTGCTGCACACACTGACCAGATACTTTAGATACTGGTTTATCACTGATGTTTTCCATTACTAAACCCATGCAGACTGACAAAAATTTACACAGTATTTAATAAATAGATCAAAATATATTCTTTGTCCTAAGAGGGGTCCAATCCTGCAACAGTACTGAGCAACTGTAGCTACTGAACTCCTCCTGTGACTGTTGATGCTTCTATGTTCTTGACATCAAATTCAGTTTGGGGTACTCCTGCTGGAGGGGGTTGGGGGACTCCCAGATATCTCAAAACCTTGAATCAGCTCTTACAGCACTAACTCTGAAAAGCATCTATACAAGTAGTAAGCATTTTCTGGATCAAAACCCGTGTATCTCCTGCACGCGTAGTATTTTACAGGCTCATTGCATTTACTAATATTGGACAGTTGTGCATGCTACACTTAAACAGGGAATAAAAATGCAAACAGCTGGGGAAAAAGCTTAACTAATTACCATAAACATCTTTGCAGTATTAGTATTCCTCGTACAGCACACTAGGACCGATTTTATTTACAGCTATTACAGCCACTTCAGAGATGCTATGTTACCTTAATAAATGTGCCTTATTACTGCAATAGGCTGCAACCAATACATGTGGCCCATCGAGTCCCATGCATTGCTTGCTCGTCACCCTCCTTGGAAAATGTGTGGACAGCACCAATCGACCCTTGATCAAAGGTTCTGCTGACTGGTAAACTCAGGCAGTGAGCAATTCCTAACCATCTGCCAGGGCAGATACAAGTACAAGCAAGTGTTCTGTTTGAGTACATTTATATTTGATTAAAAATATGCAAATGCAAGTTGTTAAATAAGTAATGTAAGCTGTAGGTGAGGCACCACCATTTTGGTACCCCTAACATGCACACTGTGGTCAGGTATTTTGTTAGCTGGTAACAAGGGCCATACAGAGTCACCTGTGTATTTGCAATCAAATTGTTTTCAGTGTGTTTTGTTTTCTGAAACCAAGCGGCCCTGGAAAATTGTAACTGGATTTGCTCTGTTTGGGAAATTCTTTTGACACTCCTTTCTCTTCCCCTCCTCATTGTGGAGGAACAGAAGGAGGCAGCAGGGAGGAAGAAGAGCCCTGGATTTCAGCTATTGAAGCCAACATACTGAGAAGTCAACAGAAATTGATTGGAGGAACTTTGTTGCAAGTGTTCACTGAACGCGAACATTTTTGGAAATTCACCTGAGTGCAAGGACACAAAGAAGGGGTTCTCCAACATGTTCACTTTGCCTCTTAAAGGTCAAACTAACACTATGTGAAACCTCATTGAGGGGAAAGGAAAAAAAAAATAAAATCATTCATGCTCACTGGCACCTGCCCCTCCAGGTATCCCCAGATCAGAGGGACATTGGCAGAGGAGCACAGAGCAGCTCACACTGTCGTGGCCCATGCAATCAGCTGTCAGCATGGGAGGAGTAAAGCAAGCAAGATCTTTTTTTTTTCTTCCCTGCCAGTGTATCTGGTTTACTGGCAAGAGCAAGCAGTCCCCTTACTGATTTGCCTAGAAATATTTATGTAATTAAAGATCTTTGTATTGATTCAGACACAATTTCTATGTGAGAATAATGCCTTGTGCTTCACAAGGCTGTTGCATACCTTACTTCCAATTTAACTATTTGCTCTGATGCCAAAACATACAGCATTCTTGGTCAAACCCAAAACCACCTCCTTTTCATACGATCAGTGTGCAAAAATATTTAATTCAGTATATGAGAAGTAATCGACCCAATATCACAGTATCAAAGCAGCGCTATACGTTAATATTCAGACATGCAGTTCTCTTATTCACATGAGGATCCCCAAAATATCAGTTGCTTTTCAGCATGCTTGACAGCCATAAGCTGCAGCTGTGCTGCATTGAAAATTGGCAATGCTGACATTAAACTGAAGGAGCTTTTTGAATGACAAAGGCACTGATTGCCTCCTTCCAAACCAGAGGGATTTTTTTTTTTTTTATTTTAACATAGGAGAACAGAGCCTGGAAACACAAGAGCGGGGTTGCCCAAAGTCCTGAGTCCAACCCCTAATTTATAAAGGTCTGCACACCTCTCCAGTCCTGTCTGTCTCCCTTCCAAATACTGCCTCCTCTCTTTGAGAGCACATCTGCT